CCATCAAAAATACCTGTCACAAGAGTCTGAAATATAAACATGTTACATGCACACCCTGTACAGCAAGCACCTAATCTCAAATCACGAGTTTATATTTCCATGGGAGAAGTGTCATGTGAAAAGCAAAATACTCAGACTGGAAGCGTATACATGTATTTGGATTTCTGTACCGGAAATAAGTGAGTTTCGGAAATCTAAACAGACGTGGTACATGCACGCCCTGTACAGCAAGCACCTAATCTCAAATCACGAGTTTATATTTCCATGGGGGAAGTGTCATGTGAAAAGCAAAATACTGGACGCGTATATTTTGGAATATTGCAATATGCCTTGGATAATTGTTACCAGTGTTTCTTTTCAGCCCTTCAATTTTAACTTCCGGCGCCCATGACTCAACTATTATCACCAGGGGTATTTGGTGGTAAACAACTTATACATGTACATTATATACTTTTCCAACTTTACCCACGTATCCCAAGTGATATGTCGAAGATGAAATTCAAATTATGGTTGTAAATATGACTGATTATCGCGAAACGGTGTCGTCCTTATTCAAATTGAATAGGGATATAGCAGATTTCACGATCAATTTATTTTGGCGCCCTCTATAACTATTTCACTAGGACTGTTGGTGTTCTGGGTGTTATCTCTTCCTGATTTTAAAAATTTACACTAATTTTTGGTAAGTGAATTCTCAAAATAATCTACGATGTTTTGCTCATAACTACTAACTGGTTTTGGAAAGCATTCGAACTGGTATGATTCCATCAATGCACTATAAAATGAATCTCTTCCTGCAGTCAATTGTTTGATTAGTAATTTTCCAACATACATAGCGAGAAATAACTAATTGTGTTTGATTATTCAGAAATTAGACCAAAATGAAGGGAGGTATGGCGGGTGAACGGGACAGGCTTTTAAATTCACCCACGAACTGGTACATATAACAATTACAATTACATTAAGTTTGCAGGCAAAAGATATCCTATCGTGAAGTAAAGTATCATGCATTATTATGGACACAACAACCCCATTCTTTTAATTTTTCATAAATATTTATGATATTTCATAAAACAATGAAAGCAGTGCTCAATGTTTATCAATATCTAGATAGAAGTGTCGATATTTAACCATTCCTATCTGTTTGAACAACATCAGAGTCTGAAAACTCTGATAGTCAATATAAGTTTTGATATACAAATATGTGTCACCAAATGGTGTCCTTTCGAGTTTTTCCTTCATCTTTCAAACATCTGCTGAGATAACCAATCTTGAAAATTGAACATGAATGAGAAGATTTTTTTTATTATTACATAACTCGAAATTTTTGCATATATTCGAAGTTTGAAAACGACAAACTTGTATACGAATAGTATAATAGCCATGGTATTCCATGGCATTCCGTTGTGTGACTACGTTTATGCACGATCCATGCATACTACAATGAGGTGCGACTTTTACGTAATGTGTACGTTCTCTCCAACAAAAACAGCGTATTTCTCAATTTTGAAGACGCAATATGGACGAGAATATGTTTAATGCTGTTCTTTGATAAAATTAGATTATCATTCACCGTGAAATAAAAATGTTATTCTTGCAACACACATATAAAGGGCGGTTTTCGTTGCGCCACGCATGCGCGAGATATATGCGTCTCATATAAACAATGATGGCGACTTTGACTGTTGCGCAGATCAACGAGAACAAACTGAGATGTTACCAAGCTTTAATTAGGTATTTTCAGGTGATTTCAAGTTGATGGTATCGAAGGAGTCACCGGCGGTAATTAGTGCAAGTCGCGCCAAGGTCAAACCTCCTACTTGTACATGTGATTTCAATTAGAAGAGCGCATTGTATTGTGGGCAAATCAATGTTTATCAACACAAATGTCGCACATACGCAGCGCGACGATTCCCGCCCTTTAAGTGTTCGTTCGATGAAATATTGATTCCTAATACACACGCGCACTGACTGTTTTGGTACGTATAATCACTGCACATACATATTAGTGTTTTCATCACCGAATACTGTTGAGTGTGCTAAAAAAGCAACATATTTATTTTGCGACAAATCACAATCGAATTTGATCATCAACCAAAAGTGTCATAGCACATTACATTACACATATACGTGATTTACATTGCTGCTTGTGCCCTCTATCGACGAAAAATGAACACTATTTGTTTTTTCTCTGGTTTTAAAATAACTTGCGCCCTTTGTGGTAATTACGTTTTTCAGCTTACGAATGTTAACTTGTTAACAAGTTGTAGGAAAAATTTATTGAAACTACTATTGAATAAAATGAAGACATAATTGTCATCATTATTGTCACACAATTATTTCATACTGTGAACTAATTATATGCATATACCGTACGATGTACATTCCATACACACGTGCATACACATACCACACGTAAATTCTAATGAATTGGGCATAATTGCGTTTTATTCTGAGTTTATAAATGCCACAAAATATACAATATAAATTAATCGAACTGTTTGAAATATAAAGCGTATATTCTACTTGGAGATTTTTGGTTGGACGTTTGTACCATGATTCAGTCCCACAGACATGAAAACGTACATTAGTAAAAATCATTCAACATATTTCACCATAGAAGTAGCTTACATTTATTTCACTGAATGGTTTATAGTTACATCGAATTAGATAGTGAAGATTATATAAAGTATTGAAATAATATCTATTATAATTTCTACATAAATATACATATAATTTCTCGCACGTAAAGTAGTGGTACAAGGGAGCCTTAAAAGTTTATATATTGTGTATAGTTTTTCTTATTTTGGGTCACATTGTCAGGATTTGTTATTTTGATATTGACTTATTTATTTTAACCGTATTTCCTAAGTTAGCATTTGTTGACGATACTGTCTAAATCAGAATTGTGCATTGTTTGGAGGGAAATTGTAATTCTTGTTACTTTTTCCAGGGGTATATTTGGCAGCTTTGACATATTTGTTATTTGGAAATTTTGCAATATATTTTCATTATAGTATTGCACGGCACCAATGTGTGTATGTCAATATTTGTAATTTGTGTGATATGAATTTTAAATATTAATGAATTTATACGTCCAAATGAATTTATATGTACGAAATTTTTGTATAATATTATTGAAATTATATTTGTATTATGATGCTGAATGATGGCAGCAACAGAAATCTCCAATGCCACATCTTGTTGCCCAGGATTGGATCATCTGTGGCCTGTGATCACTACGATATATTTCACTCAAATTATGCAAGTTTTTACCGATTTCGTTCCCATAATGCCTCTGCTCATGTTTTCTAGCGATGCGAATATAAAGAGCGACGCCATGTTTTAGTACACACAGTCGTGAGCATCGTTTATAGATCTATTTTTTACTGAACGCAGTCATTTTTGTGGGTCTGACAAATTTTCTTTTCAGTCATAAGTAAATCATACCTTAAAGAGAAAAAATGCAAAACAATTATAGCGTTTTATATGTGAAAGCAGTAGTAAGAATTTGGTGCGATAATCATTACTAAGATTAGTAATGAAACATATAACAATTAATATAATAACCACTTCAAACGAGTTAGACATTTCAAATTATTATAAAAATACTGTACAAATGATTTTTTTGTTTTTTTTATCTTGGCAGTCAATCTTAAGGTAGATGCCTACTCATGATTACAAAAACCCAGAATTTATTTATTTTTTAATATAATGTACTTCCGGGCAATATTAGAATATTGACTTTGAAAAAAATGTGGGTCACCAGGTTAATTTTCGAGAAAATCATGGTTGTATTTTAGTGGATAGCGTTCATTTTGGCAGTATTATAGTGCTTTTACTATAGGTTCCTATGGCAGAGATATTATGGCATATCTCAAATTGTAGGCTGGTGACATAGGCTGAAAAAATTATATATTGTTAATGATGGCTTTCTTTTTGTTTTCCAGAATTTTTTTCAAAAATCTGGGTTTTAAAAAGTGTTGAAAAATGCAATTTTTGTTTAACATTGCGCTCTATGGAATTGTTCTAAAATAGCTATTTTTGAAAAACAAATAGGACAAGTTTCTCAAAATACGTCACTGTAACACACAATAGAATGCTATTTTATGGTGCAATGGGACAATAGCTCCATGATTTTACATAATAAACCAATGAACACTGTCATGTGATTCATGACCAAATTTCTCAACAAATATGAGTAGGCTTCTACCTTAAGTTAACTGTGATTATGATAAAGTATTACACAATAAACAAAACGCATTATTCGATCTCTTGATCTGAAGGTGTTGAACACCTTATATATGGATAATATATAATTACACATATAACATCGTAATTAGTTGTTCACGTTAGTGTGCACCGTGTTAACTATAGTTGAATGGTCTTCAATCTTATTACGGACACATGGCATATAACTACAGAATCCTTTCAGTAGACTCTGTCGAAACTGTTTGTATTTAAAGACGTATATGAACGGGTTCAATATGGAATTAGCAAACTTCAAGACAACGATTATCTGAACGAAAGTGGCACCTAAGTTAATTTCGACTCCCAGGTTATAGCAAAGAAATAACAAACTGTCCGGTGTCCAACATATTCCGTACGCGAGCAACACCAAGAGAAGCATCCGTATCACGCGTTTCCTGGCAACTAGTAGGGTATGGGCGCGATCGTCGCCTCGGTTACTGGATACGAGACTAGAAGCGCTCAGTTTGAGGCAGGATACAATTTTGTAGTAAGCGCATATCATAACGTTCAAAGGTACGAAGTAAGACAAAACAAAGTACATGACGCCGATAGCCATGGCAGATGCAGCGTTCGGGTAGACAGAAAGATGACAGCCGATCTCCTCGTCGTAGCCATGAAACGCGACCGTGAAGAACTGTAGAACGAAAACAAAACACCAGGTGCACGCGATGAATACAGCCGTACTGCGCTTGGAAAAGTATTTATCGTAGGATAACGGGTGAACAATTGCAAAGTATCGCTCCATGGTAACCAGCACTAGATTATACGAAGATGCATTGATGGTGAACCAGAAAAACTGAGCGCTGAAGTAAAGGCGACAGTAAAGTTCCCCCGACACGCCTCCCGGCACCGGGAAATCTCCTATCTTGAGCAGAAAACGATTACAGATGAGTAACATCGAGGTCATGAGATCGGCCACCGCCAAATTAATGATAAAGTAATTGGTAAGAGTTTTCATTTGTGGTGTACTGAGAACAACGACGATAACTAGTCCGTTTCCAACAGTTCCTATTATGCCAAGCGCAAGTTCAATATACATATAAATATCCGTGGCGGCCGCTGGCGGCCAACTCGTTGTGTTTGTTAGGTTTTCCATTGCTTAATTCAGTAACAGTGACGATGAAGAAAATGTCTCTGCATGTACGTAGACGGGGTATTTGATAGTGTGTGGTTGTTATTGCGCGATGAGTGATTCCTAGTCCACTTCTCAGAAATAGCTGGGTATGTATAGCTGGATCTTCTCTAGATCTGCTTCTGAAAACAAAACACACAGCATGATAACAAGTAGTTGTATATTTATATATATATATATATATATATATAAATATTTTGAATGGTTCACAACTCGTGACTTCCCAGCATGCATTGCATCTTACATATATAACACCTTGTACTGTCAGGTATTGTAGTGACTCTAACCACGGAGTTTGAAATCTTGCCAGAGATAACTTGTCATTAATACGCGTGAGTAAGTCGACGTGCTGTGACAGTTTTACATCGTTAACAGCGTACTTGAGAGTCGATTGAAATCACTATTAACGGATGAAATAGAACCCGTGCGCGTTGGCGGATGTGCATATGAGACACTGAGTGATAGATCGGAGATGTAAAATAAATACGTAGGCTGTCGTGAAATCACGGTACATTTATCTATCTTGATTGACAGGTTGTTTTTCACCGAATTACGGCTTCTAAGCAGTATCTGAACAAACTGTTAAACCACCGTGGCGTTTGAAACTGTTTCTCTAGACTTGTAACAGCCAACGGAGAGATTTACCATTTTGTGAATCATATATATGCATTCATTGACTTCTTCATTCAGGCCCTACCTCCCACTCGATACTACGTATGCGCATATACTCCCTCCGATCTTGAGTGATCGCGATATTTCAATTTTCCGTCTTAATCCATGGTATAAATATTTTGATTGGTTGAGTTACTAATTTAAATCGCGTACAGACTAATTGAAGTAGACAATTTAGGTATGTTTGCATTCGCAGCACAAGTAGCAAATATCCGTGTGCGTGTAATCAAATCGAACAGGGTAAATCGAGAGACAGGGCTAGAATATTAAGTTGCATTCACACTTTGCAAATATGTGCCAGAACAGGATAAACACATAAAAGGTGAAGCAATTATGTTGTTTTTTGTTAAATATTTATATATTAAAAGTAGATTTCCTTCTCTGACCTTTCCACACATTTTATTCTGAGACTACTAGAGGTTCTTAACCATCAGACAAACGTACCTACAATGTACCTGGCATTCAAGGACAAATACAGCCTCCTAAATCAGTGAGCGTATACTTACACAGATCTAACTTTACGTAAGAGACCTACTTAAAATCAAGTTCGACAGTTCATTTCTTATTAGACATCGAAAATATCAACATTTTGTGGTATATATAATAATTAGTGGATGGTACCTAATTATTTTTGAATGCAATCTTAACAAAACAAAAACGACGAGTTAAGTATTTATCTCAACATTTTGTTAGGTATTGCATGTTGTTATACAGATTATCATGTTATTGAAAAGTGAAAAAAAAACTGTTGTTGCAGCGAGCAACATAGTAATCGCCCGAAGAAATAATAAATGTACGCATATGCGCATGCGCTTCGAATTAATAGTACGTACCAGTATTTCTAAGCTTGGGATTATACATGCTAAAATACACGAATAAAATAATGATAAATTGTTTATGATATATACAATACAGAAAGAACTAAACCCCCCAAAAAATATAACATACTGATAGACAATTCTATATTGCTACTACTATATTTTATACATTAACTAAACATTGCTACGTGGTTTTTAATTATACTAAAAAGTATAGATATGACGCTGATGACATAGCTGCAAATGTATTCTCACAACACCTATACTTTTATAATATGAAATTTAAAACGTGAAATTTAAGGCTTTGGTGTAAGTGCAACTAAATTAATATGTGAAATATAAAAAGCGTATTATTAGCGTATTTTCTGAATATTAATATGTGCAATATACATGTACGTAACTTAGGTCACCAGAACTACCACATGAACTTGTTAAACGTTACTAACCGTGTTTTAATGGATTAATTGATTACAATTCTGCATATTACCTCCTTTCGATTACAGATTAAAAAAATATTCTCTTCTCTTCGCGACAAGCAATGTACTAGTATATTAATTCATTTAAAATAAACAAAAGGTCAATTGAAACATAAATTCCTGATGTAACTGTAATTACCTGATTCTGTATTCACCATAGCGACAGTTGCTATTGTGTTTATATACAATAAAATCATAGCACATCGAATGCCAGAACACAATGTCCCATTTTGAATAAAGATATACTAAATGTTATGAAAGACAAAACCAAAACAACAACTCCACGAAAAACGAATCTATTAAAACAAGTCATTATGCATGTAGTAGCAATTACTGCAGTGGTGCCGATTCCGGTCTTCGACTTGCTACAAATGAGGATTTAATCACATATTTGTTATAATAAAAAGATTCATTCAAGTTTTATGAATGGCGTGCATCTCCTACACTGTAAGGCGTTGCAATTAGATTGACAAGTGTCAAGCCCTTCGTGACATAATTACCTACTTTGTCGTCTTGAAATTTCTTATAATTTATTTATACATAGCCTGTAAATTGAGCCAATTTAGAATCATTCTGTGGAAAGGTTGCGTTTAAAAGCGTAAAGATAATCAATTGACCCCCACCGTGCAAAAGTCTTTTATTCGTACGTAATTTTGCGAGTTCTACATCAACTGTTGTATATGTATGTGATAGTTAACACACTGTGTAAAGATATGTTCAAGGTTTTCTTTTATTTAACACATATATTGCACCTGGGCCAGGCTTATCACGTTTTATTTTTCAAAACAGACCAGCAATCCTTGTGATATAACCGATAAACCTTCCCGTATGGGTTAGTATGCAATAAGGTCATTTTACCAGTATTTTGTCGTACACAATAAAAGTCAACATGAGACTGAATAGACGGAGAGGGAAATGGATTTTTCTCTCTCACTTTCGCCCTAATGTTTCCTGTTTAAACGACTACTTATTCTAATTATTTAATTAGTCAAACTAGTTTCCTTTTTTTGTAAGTCACGTGGCCATATGTTCAAAGGCTTCTTCGCAATTAACTAGAAGGCAAATAGAAATGATGCTCTAACTACATTTGTCACTACAATAAAACACATTGGGATACACATGATTAGTGTGTATTGCTTCAGAATTGGTTGCAAATCAAATCATTTACAAATTTCAGTATTGTATATTTCGTTTACACGAACGAGAAAAGTAAGCACAGTAGCTCTCCTTGCCCTTCTTTGATCAGTCGCAACAAAATATCGTCTCACAGCTTCTGTTTCGGCATACTGTGAGTTGTGTATGATAAAGAACTAATGTATGCTCCTGATCTTCGTCGGTGTGGTTCACAGATGCGGATAAATGTAGTTACTGAGTAGAAACGACTTTTTCTACCAAATTTGCCTTTCCTGAGACACAAACGAGGATACAGTTAACGATAAGTATTTGTAGAAGTTGTACAAATATGGTATGATATGTGTGTGATTAGATCTGAATTATATTTTCACTGGAAAAACAGATTTGTAATAAAAGGTCCTGTTGCTACAGATCATTGTTAATACCTTATTTAAAGGAAATTGAATCGGAGGATTTTCGGATTAGAACTCAATAAAGTAATTGCTTTTCCCAATTATGATGTACGGTGGGGATATCAGTAAAGAATTACAACTCGTAAATTCCATTGTACACATTATTCGGGTTACAATATAAACGTTACTAGAATTTGTGTTAGTGTTTTGAAGAAAATTCAATTAATAATCCAAAACACATACTCAAGGTAATGATAGTAACACTCGATATAAATGTTGCTGCTCGTAGTAGTAGCAGTCTTATATCAAATACACATTCATGTTGAGATAGGACATGGCTGGTGTCGATCGAAACCGGATAATTATTTGGCTTGTTACAAACACAGTGAAAATTAACAATTCTGCTTTTAATAATTGGACTATACAAAAGGAACTGCATGAATTCACACTCGTGAACGAAGGACACTACAAAATATTCGACATATAGCTTGTAATGCTTGCCCGTTTCAGTAATTGTAATCGTAAATCTCTAATACAATATGAATTGGGATTATCTCCACTTATATATTGAGTATATTGAACCCATCAGTTGTTTTAAAAAAAGGATTACAATACAAAAAACAAGAGGATTTGACACTTTACGACACGTGTAACCCAAACGCCCAAAAAGAAAACACTGGATAATTCCCAAGGACATTGTTTGCTTTTTGTTTTTTTTTCTTTTCGAATGTCATTTCGATTTAGTATTTGCTTCTATTCTGAAATAGAAAACTTGATTCGTTCAAAATAATTCGTCATCATGAGGGATGTTATGTACGTTTCAACAAATCATGCTAATTGGTATTAAACATAAAAAATGCAACTGATTGACTGATTCAACTGATTCATAGATTATATAATGTAGTTAATGCGAATACAAAATAATCACAACTTATATCATTGCGTGCGCTGGAAAAAAGTCACTATCATAAAATTTTGATAAGAAATAAAATTTAAATGACAGAAAAGGTAATTTATTGTAATCCAACCACATGTTTAATGTTACAAATGAAAAAAGATGTTTATCTTTTATTCATATAACATTGCTTTGTCCTAAATAAAGTGTAGCACTGTACAACTATCCTGTTGTACTTTGTTTTATGTCAAGTATTATTATGCTAAGTAACATTATCCGTTAATGGTTTCCATACGGTCATTCAAGGCATCGAGGGACACTATGTGTGGCCAATACACTAATAAATTAACTGCTTTCAGTGACGATTACCTTGTTATTGAAGCGGAATTGAAAAACAATATTTTTACGGACATTGCTAAATCAAACACACATCACAATTATGACACCAGGGCATTATTGCGATCATATCAAATAAAGTGACTATACATTTTGATTTTATATGTTGATATACGTATCATCCAAATGTTGAGAAAATAATAAGTTGATATACTATCAAGTTTAATTTATGTACACCTAC